CGAAGCTGGCGATGGAGGGGCGGGGGGGACACTTGATGGAGGGGTGTGGGAAAAAAAGCGTTACGGGCCCCGCGGAACGGTCCTGCCATGCACGCATACGCGAAGCGTTGAGCCGGAGAAATCTCCGTTTTCCTTTGCAACGACAGCAACACCCCTTGCCTTGCTTACAGAGAGATACGTGGCTAGGTGGGCATGGGATGAGAGGTAGGGGGAAGGGAAGAAAGTCTGGTTGAATGAGTATTGAGTTTGTGTGGTTGAGAAGGTAGTGACGGTGTAGACAGTGTGTTGTACGCTTAGAGGGTATGGGGGATGAGTGAAAGAATCAACTTGGTGAACAATCGATATCGCAGAAGATACATGGGGAAGAAAAAATGAATTCGCTATGCCGGTACATAACGATATGTACAATATTCCCACAAGGATACAAAAAAAAGATGCGATACAAGCCTTTTTCTTTTTCTTTTTACCTTATACACAAGAAACGGCAGGCATTCAACGGCAATAACCGAGCGAAGAAAGAAAAGAGAAATCTGCAGATAGAGTAGAATAGTTGTATACATTGTAAACAAAACGGTAAACAAAATACCCAACGTGTATGTAATCCTTCCAATTTCTTTACTCACACTTTACAACAAGGGAAGGAGGGAAGGAAGGGCCCAAGTTCTAGAACCACACACATACCCTTTCGCCACATACGACACACAACCCAGACTTTCAAGCGGAGAGGGGAATAGTAACTAGAGAGTGTGTGCACATGATCGGAATTTTACAACATGCCGGGGCGAGTAGAAAACAGAAAGACCAAAAAAAGGACCGTTTTGATAGGACAAGATTCAGAAAAATTCAATAAAAGGAATACAAAAATGGAATCGGAATTATGGCAAGCATGATAACAGCGAAAAAAAACAAAACAAGCAGAAGATCTTCGCTTCCCCACGGGAAAGAAAAAAAAGACGACGCGAGGGCGTGCGCGCCCTTTCCATCCCCCCCCCCCCAAATCTTCCTCCTCCCACACTCTCTCTTTCTCTCCCACTTACTTGACTCACACGACATCATCTCATGACTTTCCGCAAATAGAAAAGGGTGGAGGAGAATCCTCCTAGTCGGGCCGACGGAGGCGTGTGTGTGTGTGGGTGTGAGCAAACAACAAACAACCAAGCCCACCCGGGTTGCCCGTCCAATATAGAACGCCCTTTTTTACTTTATTTGGGATTGTATTTATCTTTCCAGATCCTATAAGCCAAACGCACACACACCAAACTCGTTAGCACATGGTCATTTCTTTAAACTGTAAATCGGGGCCAATCCAATCGGGATAAATGAAAAACATAGCGTCCTTGGTTTCCGGCTTCCGAGGCTTTTTTCCTTTTGGGAAAAGAAGGTGGTGATGGTGATGGTGGTTGCGGGCAACGAGGCGAGAAGCGACTATCAAAACGGGGGTGCTGAGGCTACTACTGCATGTCGTCGAGATCCAGATCGTGACTGTGGCGAGTTTCGTCCATGATCCGATGGTCGTCGTCGGCTTGTCATGGTCGTCGTCTGTTTGTCGCCCTTCGCCGTCGCCGTCATCCGTCCGGTACGTACGTGCCATCCGCGCCCCGAGCGAGGTTACCGTCATTGTCGCGATAGCCGTGTGGTCGTCGCTTTCTTTGGTCTCTCGTTCCAAAATCCTTTCCCGTTTGCCCTCTTTCAAGCCCGCACGGCCGTTCAGACATGTTTACTACTGTCGCGCCATTATGCATCTCAATTTCCAGCTCGCCATGATTTGATGCAATCATCTGACGGGTGCTCCACACACACATGAACGTGCTGAACTCCGTCATCGGCTACACCCTCCCACCCTTCCGCTGATGCTTACTCCAGAACCGAGGCCAGCGACACGCTGCCACGTGTAGCGCCGTAAACAGGCTTGTGTGCACCATGCACCCAGTGCGCCGGGTCTAGAGGTATACCCGCTTCCACTATTGGCATACGACGACGAGGCTTGTACCAAACCGGTAGCGTCCTATGGCTGGTTTTTTCTCCTCTGTCGGCGGATGCAATCATGTGTGCGTAGCGGGGAACTGGCAGCAAGTGTGACAGGTCGTACTGCGGGTGAGGGCGAGGGCCGCCGTTCAGCGTCCGCATCGGCTAAGCGAGGGGACTGTCAAAATGGTGCACTCGTAGCCAATCGACTAGCCTTGGCAACTGCGCGTTCAGACTGGCTGGCCGGAATGGACAATAGCGCCGTGCGTTGGATTGCTCCATCACGCCTGGTGGCTTGGTGTTGAGGTTGATTGAGGGTGCAACATCGGCTGAGACGGGATGGCGCGGGTCAATTGCCATACTGGCAGCTCGTCATGTCTTGCATTGCGCGCGCCCTCTTGACACGGCATAGACTGAGGCTCGGTCCGGGGCTGATATGGATCCTTTGGTCGATGACGAGGGTAACGAAAGTGGTGCGACTTACCATGTGTTGCCTAATGTTTTGTTACCCTTGGATTCTGCGAGGCGCAGGAATTGAGCCGCTTTGAACTGGAGACAAGGCGCAGTCAGCATACATCCACATCAGCCGAGTTCTTGCTGCTGCCCAAACAGTGAGGCGGAACAAAGGGGGACGCCGTGTCTCAGTTGGACATGGCGCATGATGACTGAGGTCCAGGCTGTACACTCTTTTTCAAGCTGACAGTTCGCGTCGTTATTGCATAGACTTGACCGGTCAAGCGGATGCACAAAGGAGCATAACGACCGTAAGGTAGGGGAAGAGGGCTGACACATCTTTGCTTACCTTGTCTTTCTTCGTACCAAAGCCCTCGATGTAGCACCAGGCTACCTCATTCATCGCATCCGTGTCGCCCAGGTTTGCAGCTGTTTCGTAATATTGCTTCGCAGCTGCAGGGTCTTTCTTGATACCCCAACCATTGCGAAAGCAGTTGGCCAACTCATACATGGCCAGCACAAGTTCGCCTTTGGCTGCACCTCCTTTTTTCATGCCAGCTCCAAGTGCCAATTTTTCAACTTCAGCACTGTTCGATGCTGCCATAGACAAGTATTGAACCGCTTGCTCCTGGTTGGATTCACAACCCCAACCATGGCTGATACATAGTTAGTAGTGAATTGGATCAGATACTAACGAGTATTCGCGTGTCGATTGACAATTCCAGGTTGCAGTTGGGAGAGAGAAAGAGCTTACCGCAGGGCAAGGCCGTAGAGAACTTGAGCGAGAGCATTGTTTGCGCCATTGGGATCAGCAAGTTTTCCAAACAGGGACGTTGATGCTTCAAGATCTTGTTTCGTTCTTGTCAGTTTCACCAGCAAGGCGTACACATCTGTTGCAATTACTCACCTCCATGCTCGTGTTGTCGAATAGCCTCCTGTATGGTCTCCTATACAAAGCTTAGACCGACTCTTGTGCTCTCCATAGTTGTGCGTACCTCGTCCGCTGGAGCGCCAATGGTTGCACTGCGACGCCTTGGGGTCGTCGGTCGGCCTTGTGACATTGGACTCACGGGCACATGGCTTGGTGTAGGGGGCTGGGAACCGTGTTGCAGCCCTGATGTAACCAGCACTGTAGCCCTCTTTTCCCACTTGGCCTCCTCCTCCTCCGTTCGTGCTACTCCATCTCCGCCCACTTCTGGAAGATTGTCCGGTACGTTTGCGGATGCGTTCGACTTGCTTCGCCCAAGCTGGAACCGATGCCGCTCCCCTCCCGACGTGGAGCCCTGTGACGAGGCATTGCTACGACTTCTGAATCTAGGAAATTTGCCTCGCGGTTCAGGTGACAAGAGAGGGGAATCGCGCTGGGGGTCGCCGGGAAAGCTGGGTGGCTCGATCGTCTCTTGCGTCGACGTCGTGGTGCGAACGAACTGGAACTCTGGGACATTGGGAGAAAGGGTAGCCCCTGTCGGGGATGCAGGGCTTGCACCATCATCCCTGATTTTGTCCTTCTTCTTCAACAGGTCTTTGAGCGTCATGGTGTCGCGCAAATTGCCTCTTCTCGTGTCGGGCTTCGCGTTGCCAGCGCAGGCAAGGGGTTACGCGGCAGGAGACCTAGTATCGTTCGAGAACAGCTTCGCCAAAATTAGAGCGTGCCGTGCTTTCCCACTATTCAATCTTCAGGGTATTCTTATATCTTCGCAAAATCATCGTAAATGTGGCAGAGTCGCACATTATGCTGGCGCGGGCTGTCGAATTGTAAGGCACGACGGACAGTAGGATGGAGGCTAAGCAGTGGTTCCAGCCCGCCTCAGCCTCCACATGGCATTGCCCCTGCAGCCTGTCAGACCCTACACAGTGAGCACTTGCAACGCTAAGCATACGCAAAAACAACATCATCTCTACCGTTATGCCACCAAATACGCTCCCGGAGCACATGGAAACCATGTGCATCTTCATGTATGCTTGGGCAAAGCAACTTCTGGACTTTTAGAGCCTCAAGTCCCAGCCGTTGCCACATCCAGCGCTATCCATGCGTCGCCGTTATGCCTACTGCGTATGTACGCAATCCAGTTGCTTACAGCCGCCACCTTTATAAATATAACCCGGCGAACACCTGCAGCGTATATGCGGCGTATAGCACATACAAACGCCATAGTAATATGTCATCCCGCAGATCTCTCAGCACTTCAATATCCAATCATTCACAATTTCTAAATTGGCAAACAGAGAATATTCGCATTCTTTCAATTCTTTTTCTCGTTACATGTGTTTTACTGTCTTCTTCTTCTTCTTTCTTTCTTTCTTTCTTTTTTTATTCGTTCAAACATGTGCATAGGGTACAGCCCCTTGAAAAGAAACGAAAAGACAGCATAGAAAATCGCACGAAGGGGTATCACCGAAAAGAACCCTGAAAGACCAAGGCCATCCCTAAACAGTCAAGACGAGCTGAACGCCATCAGGACGAAAACCTACCAGGCTATGAGATACACAAACTTGAGACTTGAGAAGAAACAATTAGGGTGATCCATACTGGAAATAGAGCAAGGGAAAACATACAATATCCAGGCATCACCAGATCTTGCTCACTGGTCTGCATCGAAGGGAACAAAGTCTGCCTGCTGTGTGAACTGACGAGGCTCATGGTCAGCGCCGGCCTTTGGTGTAATCTGCTCCAAGTTATCCTCGACAGTCACCATATCCTCGGGGGTCCTAGAACGATTAGGCGTATTCGACGAAGGAGAGCCTGCTGGTGAAGAGAGACGCGTAGTCTTTCTCATTCGAGAAGCACGGCGAACATGTCCCAGACGGCACTCATTGCCGTAGCGACATGTTCCTGTGTTGGCAAAACTAGGGCACTCATGTGCATGTAGTTCGGCGCATTTGTCTCCTTTCTCACAGTAGCCCAGGTTTCCAAACGCTTCGCAGTTTAGCGCAGCGGGATTGGTGCGAACATGAGCGAAGCGACAGCCGTCGTTAGCACATCGACCAGCTTGGAAATGCAGGCAAGTAGGCGCATTGTGTGGCGAGGCCTCGTGTGATAGAGAGCACTGCTCTCCCATAGGACAGGCATCTTTGTAGAACCAGCGTTTGCACACAGCTTGCTTGTCTGGATCATGGACGTAAGGACACCCATGCCGTGAACACACACCTATCGATACGTTAGAGGCAAAAAGGAAAATAAAAAGGAAAGATGCCGAAAGTGTCGTTTCGTGGAAATACCTGCGGAAGTAAACATGCGACAGAGATCCCGGAGCTCCGATGAATGATCGTTTGTCGGGGCCGTGCTGTTTGGTGGCAGTGGGCTTTCACTACCGCTTGCCTCTCGAGACTTGGTCGCGTCTATGTGCTTGTGTGTAGTCGGGCGCTGGTATGGATGGTAGGGTTTGTTGGCGAAACCATGACCATAGCCACCTCGCTTTCGATGAAATGCGCTGTGGTATGGATTGGCAGAATATCCTCTGGCCTGTGCATTCTCGCGCTCTTCTTTCTCTTTCTTCAGGCGCGCAATATAACCTATCGTCAGACTGTCAACATCTTGCGCTCATGTTCCACCTATTTCGCGCTTGTCTGTACGCCTCTCCCACATACTCTTGAGCTCTGCATAGGCGCGTATTCGTTCCTCCTGTGAGGTCATCGCAGTAATTTGTTCGTGTGTGTACGGCGGGGGCCCCGGTGGTGCCATATTGTTGTCGCTTGATCGGTTAGCAATGTACGATAACAGTTGGTAGGCGGGCGACGGTCTGCGACGGCAAGTAGATTGAGGTTGTCGAAGGGGAAAAGCAGCGGGGCAACAAAGAATAATATAGTACTACGGTGAGGCAGCGCCCATACTTGGCAGGGTCCAGGTCACGTGCCGGTTTCATCATATTTATATTCACCACCTGACAAATACATCAATGCCAAGAAGAAGTATCATCTATTAGTCTCACCACACTTTTCAGACAGTGCTGATTTTCTTCAGGTGTAGAGGGGGAGTTGTTTTATAGTCACAGGGTAATGTAGTTAGAAAAAATAAACATACGCGGTTGCTGGGTTCGCAGCGAGCATCCCCTGTCGATTTTATTATTAGCGACACCCTTCGTGTGAAAGCCATAATGCTTCTTTTCTTTAAGCACAGGTTAGTTATTGGTAGCAATTGTCAAGATGCTATCCATATAGACATTGATTACAGGTGACTTCTACAAAACCCTTGTCATGCAAGACAAGACAGAAAAGCACCAAGAGCACCGACTCGTCTCGGTATGTGATAAGTTATAGATAAACGCCGGCATGCAAAGAGAGCTTCTAAGCCCTAGTCCCAATAACGCCGGAAGAATGCTGTGACCCTAGACGCCATCCCGCTGTGAATGTTCCATTTCCCCTCATGAACCAGTACCAAATGTTCAGACCGCGTTACAAGGCGGACAATTACGGAGAAATGCCCTGTTTATTATTCATCCGCTTCCTCGTTCAACTGCTTACGTTTGATAGCAAGGTCTGCCTTCTGCTTGTCGATCTGATTCTGCACACGTTTCTTGAAGAGGACATTGGTTTGTCGGTCGCGCTGCTCTGTACTCTGAATAATGGCCTTCTCCAGCTCTGCGATTTCAGTTCGGAGCTGTTCTTGACGCTGCTCCTCAGCTGCGGCGACTTCATCTACTTCGTCGCCATCCTCGTCAGAGTCCGCATCATCGTCGTCGTCATCATCGTCGGCAGAAGTGGCTGCTGCAGGTGTCGAGGCCGCAGTCTCGGGCTCGATAGTTATGTTGCCATTATGGCTAAGAGCATGCATGGCGACATCATGAGCGGTCGTGGGGGTACCGACTTGCTCGACTTGGACATTGCCCGAGTTTGCAAGCAATGCATTAAGCTGGTCATTGTCGCCAGTGAACTCGACTTCGTCATCCATGAGACCCTCTGCAAGCATCTGCTCAAGATCGTTGGCGTCCATCTCTTCTGCTTGTGAGGCGTCAACCATTTCCTCGTCGGCCTCTTCTTCCGAGCTTGACTCCTCTTCCGAACTCTCTGCATCGCTGTCTATCATCTCATATTTTGTAGACACTGCATTTTCGTCCTCGGCCAGCAGTCGGTTCATCTGCGCTTCGGCTCGCTCGACATCGATGTATGATTTTCGAGGGCGGAAACGTCGCTTGCGGGCCCATTTCATGGGCGGTGTCAGGCCATGAGGGAAACGGTGAGTATCTGGGGAGATGTAGGACGGCAGTGGATATTTCTTTGCCTCTTCCTCATTCTTAACCTCGTCGAGGACTAAGAGCATCTGGCAGACATCCGCAGTCTTGACCCAGTCCTTTTTGTTCCAGCTCTTCAGAGATTCAATGACAGCAGGTAGCTCAACCATGGTCGCGGCGTACATGCGGTTCTGTATCGTAAGCATGGCGCGGCGGCCCTCGCGATCAAAAAAGCGAAAGTGTACACCAGGACCGCCTTGTGATACGCTCTTCCCGATTGTCTTTTCTTCAATAGACTTGCGCAGTAGGTCGCAGTCTGGGCCAGGCTTCATCCGCAACACAAACTGGGACTCAATGGCTGGATCGGCTTCTGCTTCCTCAGCCTCGCTGTCATATCCGACACCATATGGCCTTACTGGCGGCTTTCCTGCGCCCTTGACTTTCAGGATCGCCGTACTTCGGGTTGGGGTATTTGCATTCAGACTGCCCTTTGGCTTTATGGATAACTTGATAGACTGGGTGCGATTGTGCGTCTTCAGTGGAGGGGGCGGCTGCTCGACGGCTCCGAGGTTATCGTCGTCGTCGCTGTCATTAGTCATGGCAAGACTCTTCGCAGTAGGCTTTGGCTTGCGCTTGAGAGCAGGTGAGTCAACATGTTCACCCTCGTCGCGCGCCCTCTTCTTAGGACCGGGCTTTCCTGGGGGAATGGCATTGCCGCTTTCATCGACCTTTGGCTTTTTGGTGTATTTGCGCTTGATCTTTGTTGCATCGCCATTCCCTGAATCTGCTGGATCGCTAGGGGTAGGCGGCGCGATTTTGAACTTGAGCTTTGGGGGTGGCTTCGCGGCAGCCGGTGCAGGCGCGTCGGATGAGGGAGGCGCTGCGGGCGCATCGCTGGAAGCGGCGTCAGGGTTTTTGAGTTTGAGCTTCATCTTGGGCGACGGTGCGGATTATTTCGTCGGTTACGATGACAGGAAAAGGACATGCACCTGCGGGCGCGTCATTTGCGGGGATGTGCAAATGTGTACAGGCTAGAGAGGGTGGATGGGCGACGGTGGTGATACGTCGAGGGTCGTCTTGGCGAGCTGCGAAGGTGAAGGGCCAAAGCTTCCAACCCGCGTACCTTCACTCTATCGACACTGACTCTCTTCTCAGCCTGACCACAATGCGCCTGTTCCCACCGTAACATCCACCTCGCCACTGGACCTCTGCATCGATTCCTGTTTCTTCCACACACCACGTATACGCGCACACACGTACAAGCATGTCCCAAAACGATCTCTTCCTCAGTTTACTGCGGCCCGCCGTCCTCCACATTCTGCGCGCGACGGGTTTCCAACATGGCAAGCCCTCAGCCGTCGATACTATCGTCGACTTAACAGCGCGGTATCTATCTGTCCTGGCTGAGCGAACAGCATACAATGCCTACTCAAACCACAACGACCTCATACCAAACATCACCGACGTGCGCATGGCCATGCAGGATTGCGCACTCCTTGTGCCGACCATGACAGCCGGAGAAGAATTGTGGAAGGAAATACTACGGAAGCCGCTCGAAGAGTACAATGCCGAGACAGGCGCACGCGAGAACGAAGCGGCACGACGTGACGCCGAAGATACCGTAGACATTACTGAGTTTATTGAATGGGTCAAGGGCGAGCAGAACAAGGAGATTCGGCGCATCGCAGGCACATACAAGCCGGTTCCAACGAATCCGACCGAGCAGCTTGACCAGGAGGAAATGGAGGATTATCTGAACAGTACGTTGCATGTGTTGTTGTAATATTTCCTGGAAATGCTAATTGCGCCTAGCTCTCATGAAGAAGCACAGCAAAACCGGAGTCGAATCGCGTTTCCAAGGGACAGTCTTGGGCGTTCCCGCCGAGCCAAAGACTATCAAGATTGAGGGAGGAGCTGCCGACTCGATAGAAGAATGGTGTCGCAAAACGCGCGAGAGAGCAGCCAAAGAAGCGGAATCAAAACAAGACAATCACAATCCCCCAAATCACGTTGAAACAAGAGAGGCTTCAGAGGATGTAGTAATGGAGATGGAATGAAACCTATTGATTGATCATGGAAGCATAGCGAAGGCGTTTGGTCATATCATTTTCTGGCGTTTTGGATGGTCGGGACTTGGAAGCAGATGGAAGTAGCTTTTTTGGGCATTCCTGTTTCGCTATTATCATGTTTATTTCTCGGGCTGGGTATAGGCGCGTATGCCCAAATAGCACAAACATACGCTTCAACGCCACCAACGAATCGAGCGTACATTACTGTTAATTTGGTAAAAATCAGATAAAATAATGACTACGTGAAAAAGAAAGCATACAGCAACCTGATGTGGTATATGTGGATGTGAACTTATGACGTACATGTCTAGCGGAGTTGGTCGTTCCAACAAGCCGAGTCGCAATGCAGCACCGCAATAAACCCACCCACGCTTGATACTAGATTACTACATGCAAAGACTAAAACACGGCCTATGTACAGATTAGTTTCCCACGCATTCAAACTAGGCACCGCATTGGTGGGGCTTGAAATGAATGACGGACGCGCCCCGCAGACGTCATAGCAATGACCAGGTGAACCAAAACAATCGTCTCAACCTCTTCCACTCAACCAATTCCCTTCTCCATTCACATAAAAAAACCATAAACCCTCAAACAACACAACACAAACACCTCTTAATCCTCTAAAATCCAATCCCAACACACACAAAAAACATCAACAATGTCCGCCCTCTCCCCCACCGCCCCCTCGCAACCCACCACATCCCAAGCCTACACCACCCCCGGCAACCCCACAGAAAAGACACCCCAGGAACAATCCGAATCCTTCAATGCCTCGGACAACGCCGCTTTCGCCGACCAACGCATCCCCACAAAACAAGCGACGCACGAGCAAGGCCTTCAAAACGCAAAGTTCGAAGAGGGAAAAGGCGTCCACGGCGCACCGGCTGGCGAGGAAAGCAAAGGACTTAGTGAAGAAGATGTAGGACGACACAAGGAGCTGGATGGGCAGCAGATGGCTATGCCGGGAGAAGGAAGGGTGGCGGATGCGGTGGCGAAGAAGGGGGTGGGATTGGGGGGTGGAGGTGCGCAGCCGGGGTTGGAAAGTGATTTGGATAGGTAAGTTTTCCTCATTTTTGAAGTGTATAGAGGGATAAAGGAAAGGAGGATTTGGCTAACGGTTTTTTCTTTTTTTTTTACAGGAAGAAAGCAGAGCAGGCGGAGGCGAGGGAAGCGATTAAGGCGGAGAAAGCGCAGGCTACGTCCCAGGGCGGTGCGTTGGGACAGACGGGCGGACCGGCGAATCCAGTGGATAATGCTACACAGGGAGGAGGCAATTATCCTAATTCTAGCTACTAGATCTGCGTGAGTAGGATGATTTATGATAGACACGGCTGGGTGAAAGATAATCACATGGTTGATCACGCTTTTTTTTTCGAGTAATTGAGCATTGTATAGTTAGATGTGTATTTTGAATCAAAATATATAGAACCGAGGCTGAATAAAGAAACTATTTTCATAAGAATGTACATGTTATAGAGACAGGTATGGCAGGGCTGTTGCAGTCTGCACATGTACCGCTACATCAGTAAGCTATGAGCGACGAGGCGATTTCATTCAGAGAAAAAAAGGGGAAAGTCAATGAGGAACACGACCGAAAACAGACAAAATAACAATATTTGTTTGAATTTCATCCATTGCCCCCATAGAGCTCAAGAAGAGCCATGGGAAACAACATAGTATTAACCATCCCATCCATCCACTGCTGTTGAACATGTTCCAGCATCTATATGCACATATACATGTACGACCTGCACTGGTCCCCTCTAGTCTCAACCAACATGTGCAACGTGAACGTTATAAACAAAAACGGCGAGGGCTGCCTCGCGCACTGTCCTGATTCGTAGAAAGCAAAAGACAAGAAACAAGAAACAAAACGCCGCCGATGCGAACCTACCGCAGCTCTCTGCGCTCCATAGAAGTCGCGGCTGGTGGTCACAGTCATCGAAACGCCAAACGGAAAAGTCCTGAGAATGAGAGAAGAAAGACCAGGAAGAAAAAGAAGCAAAAAAAAACATTATGTACATCAACAAGACCCCTAGCCCTGTGACTAGAAAAGGCAACGATTATCGACACGTAGACAAGGGGTGAGAAAGGGGGACAAGAACAAGGGGTATGGGCGCCTCGTCTAAGAACCCATGTTGTACGTGCCGAACTGAAAGTTGTTCATGTCGGTTTGGGGGGCAAGGCTGGGGTCGAAAAAGGCCGTGTTATCGAACACCATTGGCTCACTTGCATGCATAGTCATACTGTAGTCCACAAACTGATTTGGGTCTACAGGGACTTGATTCATCAGTGGCATGGGTAGAGACTGTTGCGGTACAGGGTACTGGGCAGCAACAGCAACAGTGGGGTCGAGAGTGTACGAGGCTGTAGCGGCGGGAGCGGGAACAGCGACGGCGGCAGTGCTGGTGAGGTCGAAAGCGGCGTTGTTGTCGATTGGCTCGGGCATGTCGTTGTCCGAGTTGTCGGCAGGAGATTGAGGAGTGGGCTTGTTCTCAACTTCTACCTCTTTGATCCAGTTTTGCTTCAGGTACTCCATAGGAGGGTGATCACCACCACCAATACCGCCACGCTTTTCGTCACTGCGACCCTTCCTGCCCCGCTTGCGAGGATGGAAGTGGGCACGGCGAAGATGGGCAGCGGCATTGTAGTAGGCACCGTATACCTTCTTGTTACGGCAGTGTTTGCAGTTGGCAAGAAACTTCTGGTCCGCTGACGAGTCGACGCAGATGTAGCCCTTCCTACGCGAGGCATGGGCACGAGCAATATGACGATCGAGTTCGTGAGTGCCACGGAACCCATCGGGTCGCTCATTGCAAAAGTTACACTTGATCTTTGGGTGCTGGGGTCGCACATAGGGCGTTTTAGCTATGACACCAACAGTTTTGGACGAGCCATCCTCGGACCGAATCCTTGTCATCTGAGCATTGGACGACGCAGACTCGGTCTCATCGAGGTTGTCAATTGCTTTTGGAGCAATCTTGCGAGACGCAGCTTGTGCGATGATCTCGCGCTCGCGTTGCGACTGGCGAGAGTTTGTCGATGAGGATGCAGACACCTCGCTCGAGTTACCCAGGCTAGACGCGGCTGAAGTCGACCTCCGCATATCCTCCGCCAGGCACGACTGGTCGTTGTTGTTGAAGAGGGTCATGTCGGAAGAGGCAAGTGCAGGCACACTTGCGGGAAGCGAAGAAGAACAAGACAAAGAAGCAGAAGAAGGAGAAAGGAAAGCTTCACTGGAGGAGCCAGTGAAGGAGAGAAAAGGAGACACACCAGCGGACTCGCTGATGGGTTTTGATTCGACATCAAAGGAATAAGGAAAAGTCCCATCCTCTGAGAGGATGGGCATGGTACATGAGGAGTCAGACTGAACACGCAACATGGAAACTTGATCAAAAAACAGAGGGTTGTAACTACCCTGACGACTCATGTTACTGGATTGAGTAACAGGCGTCATCAGAGCAGTTGACGGGGTTTGGGGCGAAGAGACATCCGATGATGAGCTCCACTGTGGGGTAGGTGTCAGTTGCAACTGTTGCGAATGCTGGGGAAAGGGGAAGGTGGAGGCGTCATGGGGCTGAATGCAGCTGCTGACGTAGTCGTCAACGCTGTACTCGGCGATGGCACCATTGCAGTCAATTTCTGGCAGCGAGTGCAGGCTGGGCTGCCTCTGCATAGACGAGTCTGAGTAGAGGGTGTAGTCGGTGTAGGCACCGGTTGAGGGGTCGTTCATGGCCGAATCTGAGCGGTTCATGACCGGGGCCGAGACAGACATCTGGGGAGCGTGTTAGAGCGGGGGCAAGAGGCGCAGACCAAACAAGATCCATACTGAGAATTGGGTCACGTCTGATGCGGGGCAGGGCATTGAGCGTGGTATTTGTTCGGCCGCAGAGGCTGATGTGGGCTGGCAGGCGAGCTGGAACCAGGCGTGATTCCGCTCCTCCTCGGTGAGGTGGGCGTTGCTCATCCAGAAGTTGCGCTTGGCCTGCTGGAGGAAGTCGACGTAGGTGTTGCCATTACTACTACTGCTACTACTACTAGCGGACAAGGTTGAAGCCATGAGCGGTGGTGGTGGTGGTGGTGAGGATAGAGTTTTGGTGGTAGCGTGGAGTGACGTTGTTTGGTGGGCTATAGCACAGCAATTAGCACTGACCAAACGAGGAAGGAGCCAAGGGCGTGAGTGCAGCACAACTTACAGCTTGTGGTGGTTTACAAAGGCAGGAGCGTTGGACGAGCTTTGAGTGAGCTTTGTGCAGGTAGTATATATGTAAATGTGAAGATGTGGCTATGTATGCAAAGTATGTGAGACGGGATGGATGATCAAATGGTGAAAACGAGCGGGTTGTGTCGGGGGGAGTCGGAGCCTTTTAGCATGGCGTGGCGCACATGCACACGGGGGACGAGCGATGCGCTGGCTCGCGTCGGCGACAGTCTGACGCCTGCGGCCCGCGCTGAGCTGTGGGCAAAAGGACCAGGGCAGCGCTCAGAATGGCAACGTGCCGTGGTGATCATGGCCCCATACACTCTCCCATTATTGGATACGACCTGCCCATCCACACCCTCATTTGCTGCCTCGCGCTGGCGAGCCTGTCAAGGCCCTGCAACACACAAGCAGGCCCTTCCCCAGCGTCCATCCAGCGTGCATTCAGCCTACAGCCCGTCGGCGCCCTATCGTGTATCCGCACTGGGCAAAAGGCAAGGCACATGTCCTGCATGAGGTCGCATCTGGCAGCCTGTGCGGTCAGTGGCAGCGCCATCCACCGCACCCTGTGGCCCTGGCGTCCAACCCACGTCGCCCATCTTCCCCGATGCGACATCACCAGCCCACCACATCGTCGTCATTCCATCCTCCTCTGCGAATCGCGGAAACGGCGGATCGCCCTCAATCTTCTTGTCTTCGTTAGCAGCCCTCAGCCGCCAATGGTCCAGACACGTCCATGGACCGCAACTTTGGCAATGCTCTGCAAACCACCACGTCCCCTACCTGTCGTGAACTACCGCTTCTGGTTGGTGCACATCTCGTCAACCCCCCCGGATCGCCCGTCTGAATCGCGTCAAATACCACATTCATTTCACAAGGTTTAATCATCTATACTGCTGCTGCCCTTCCTAGCTCGCAGGAGCATTGACAAACACCGCACCAGGCATTCCTGGCGACAGCAGCAGCTCTATCAGCCTGCTCCGCTTACGCCTGTGTCGATGCGATGACACTGGTGCCGAGCATGACGACGCTGACGACGAGAAGGAGAACCTCGACACTCGACTGCCTTGTCTCTTATCCGACTCTGCCTCGCCCACGCCCACGCTTGCTGTGCTTGATAGACTTGCCTTGTCATCGTGGCCCTCCTTCTCGACACTCACGCTGCAGCTGCCATTGCACAGCCAATACCTGTCCAGCGAAGCCTCAGTCGCCTTTGCAACAACGCCCAGCTCTTCAAAGAACGTGACCACATCCTCCTCGAGCCCCACCAGCTCCGCGTAACGCTTCTCCTCGGATGCTAATTTGGTGCTGTCAAACGTGCATGCATCAAATGCTGTTGCAACAGAGTCTCTACGCTGCCTTACTGGCTCCCGTACAAGCATCATGCTCCCCGGCACATAGATGATCCGCCCGTCAGCCACGTCAACGCTGCTGCGCCTGTGCTGCGTGTCTGTGTCTGAGTGCGTAATTGTACTCTTCCCACCCCATCGCATGTTTGAAGGCGACGCGGGCGAGCACATCTTGTCGGCCACCACCATGATATTGGCCGGGTTGTCGTTCCGAGCACACCACACCTGTGGACTGCCTAATGTTTCACTCGCGGCATGCCCTTTGCCAATCGCGTACAATTCCTGGGGTGTCGATAGTACCGAGCTTGGCGACCCTGCTACTCTTGCCGCTGTCCTACCATCTCCTCCTCTGATACTGCTCAATTCGTACCCTGCAACGTCCGTGTCGAGCGCTGCCAGTTGCCTGCCTTGCCGCTTTGGCCCGACGCGCGTCTGTTGCGTCAAAGACGTGCGAGATTGCTTTGCACTAGGAGAAATTGCTGCCCCGCTACCTTGTGCCTGTGCATCTGCTACTAGTAATTCCCCCATCATCCCTCTCTTGTGTTGGCTCGTCTCCACGTCACATGACCGGACCCGCTTCTTTCTCCTCTGCTCTCCATCCTTCTCCCTGTTGTTTTGCTTTCTCCGAATGGTATCAAAGTATCCTAGCCCACCAACACCGCCTACTCGCCTCTCTCCAACCGCTTCAACCGCTTCAACCAGCGGTGAAGCACGTGATTCCAAACTGCCATATGGCGCCGAGTGCGCTTTTCTCCGCAATCGCGCCCGAGCCAGGCCTCTTACTACACCGCTGCTCACCCTGATGTCATCGGTGGGGGGCAATGTAATCGTCGTACTCGGTCTTTCTTCCTGTGACTTTGTCTCCGTTGGTGGGGGTGGTGATACACGGCATTCATCTCTCCGTTGCGGTGAGGCCTTATTGTCTCTGTCGTTGTCGTCATGACCACTCCCATCGGCTTCGTCTTCGGAAGGTGAAAAATTCGAGTAACTAGCAGCCGTCGCCCAGAGTCCAGCCAGCATATCGATGTCACTCGTCGGCCGTCCTGCAAAGTTTGCACTCGGCAGTAGCTCAACTGGCATGTCGTAGTAGTCTTCTACAACATGCGGCATCGTGGCAGGCAGTATAGTTAATGGAAACTGGGACTCAATCCGACAGTAAAATATGTGTTGCATTCACAATAATAATAAACAATACCAGTCAAACCTCTTTAACAAGCACCACCAGTTCCCCCCTCGCACCTAGCTGAACATATATTTCTTTGTCCGCACACATCTGCACTGGTCACGCTGCGGACTGCACAGACAACGACAACAGCAACCCGCGGGGTACGCTGCACTGCGAATTATTTTTAGTATACACAAAGAATCGCGAGGCTGAGTAAAAACTCCATCCTGCATCCTCCTCTGTCTCTCTATCTCCCAGACAAGGAATTTTCGCTATCCGGCTCATGCAGATTCCGTGGCCCCCAAAAATCGACTCGGAATCCGGTCGTGCTTAGCTTTTGCAATATATTAACGTTTCCACCCACCCCTTGCACAATATGCGCAGTCAATCGCTGAGCCTCATCCGCTTGACCCGGCCACTTGGAACCCCTCACTGATTTGCAACACCCACACATGCATCCTCTGCTATTTTCATAACTGTCTAACTTGACCCACCGGATTCAATTGCTTTTTCTCTAGATTAATCCTGCAATTGACATACGATGCCCAAGTATTTTTTTGGGACTTGAATCAACAAAGTGCCAAGCGCATGGCACGTGACATGGTCCACCGAGTGCAAAAAAACATACAACAGCGGGGATTCGCCAGTGGTCACCCACCTGACTACTGATCCGCCGGTCGAAGGCTTAATGTCTGGGGAGCGGACGGGACCCAATTTTGTACTTCGCCGATGGTCGTATGTGCCAGAGCTTTGGGGTCAAGAACAGATTATTCGTGGGTAGAGCGAGGAACAACGGACTCGGTCAAATCCTGAGTTACTAAGAGGGTACCGATTCCTTGTTAAGACATAATCAGAATTATGGCGATTTGAACTCGTTCATTATTCAGAGAGGGGGTGGTAAGATATACTTAAAGTCGTCAGTCTTCCAACAAACATTACACAATACAAATCTCATCTCCCATCACTTCCCCTACGAAACCTACAAACTCTCCTTAAAAATCTCCGCCCCCTCATGTCCACCCCTCCTCAGGAAAATCTTCATACTCTGCAACACCTGCGCCTTCAAATCCGGGTTACTCAGATTCTGCCCTGCAAAACCCCCATACGTGCTATCAAACTCAAACGGCTTGAGCGCCTTCCAGATGGCCAGGACAGCAGGTGGAGGTAGAGGGATCATATTTGGATACGCCCACATGAAAGAGTAGGAGGTTGTGTCCGGGATACGGCGTGCATTGCTGAAGCCAGACTATGGTATTTTGATCAACAATCAGTTTAACCTGGGTGGGAAAGGGGGGGGGGGCTTACAGGCACACTCATAAACGTATCAGCAATGAACAACTTCCCTTCCCAATGCGCAACCGAACTCCCATCGAAATGACCACCGCACTGTACCATCTTAACCTCTCCGCCCACCTCTTCAATCGGCGTGACACCGCTCACCAGCTTCCGAACACCGCGCTTGTCCTCGCGGTTAAGCCATTCAGTGTCATCGCGGCATATGTACACTGGACACCCAAATGCATCTGCCCATTCGAGGTGCGTCGTGTAGAAGTGCGGGTGGCTAATTACAATCGCTTTGAGCCCGCCTTTTGAATTGATAAAGTCGATCGTCTCCTGGTTCAGTAGTGCAATACAGTCCCAGAGCACGTTACCCTGGCTTGTCTGGAGCAAGATGGCGCGTTGTCCGATGCCTAGTTGCTTGCGAGTAGTACTAGAGTCCGCGAGGCCTGCGGGGAGTTCCGAAGGGGTTAGAGGTTTAGTGCTAATGTAGTGGATCCGGGCATCCTTGGTGTCGGTTTCGAATACATTCTTCTGGGTCTCTTGGTTGCTGGCGAGATTGGTCCAGGATTGGCCGGAGGCTGGGACGTATTGACGGGGGTCCTATGGCGTGTTAGGTTTTACATATCATTCTTGGGGTTGACCTTTTTGGGGTTTGAGGAACTAGTAAAGGGTTGATTGGTAAACACTGGTATGACGTACATCGCACATGCGGCATGTTTCAGGGTGCTGCGACAGCGGAACGTCGTATTGTGTTCCGCATGTTTCGCAGATGGCTAGGTCGCTTGGTGAGAACTTCATCTTGTGTAATCTGAGAGTTGATGTATGATTGTGTAATGTAAATGTAAAGAGTCGCGTGATAATAGGCACATGTCATCTGTCAAGGGTGTAATGGTTGCTCTTTTATCCAACTACCAAAAGTGGGGTTCAATGAGGGGGTTAGCTTCTAGAGCTCAACCTAGTCTCAAGGCACATCGATGATGACAAAGTTTTGGACCCTGAAGCTGGTGTATTCGTTCCATGGGCTTCGTGACTGCAGAATTGGGCCTAGCCTTAGAGGCCTACCGTGGATGCCTAAAGGTAAAGAATACGGTACTGGGTGACAAATTGGAGCGTACTAGACCACGAATCCGTACATTTGTCAGAATTTATACAAACTCTCACAAGCTTGGTCATCTCATTCAAGACACATGATCTTCATTGCGTAATACTGAACATGTACAATGGCTAACTGCAACACTCCAGAACGCCCATTACCAAAAGCACCTTCTACTTTTCTACCGACTTGGCATCAATCTGTGCCTTTGGACTTGCATTTGCAATTCTTGACCATTCGCCATTGAAAGCATTGATAAGCCACCATTTCAATTCTGTGTCTTCGTCAGCATTAACTCTCACATAACCGAGAAAATCACTTACTGTCATATACAATCCTGTTAGCGTTATGGAAGTAGATGCTATGGTCCGAGTCTGGGAACACATGGACGTCGTAGTTTTCAATGCCCGCAAGATCCAACCGGTCCAGTAGAGTAAGTGTGTTCTGCATGTGCACGTTGTCATCGGCAACACCGTGCATGACAAGAAATCGGACATTCTTCGCGAGCGATCTCACATCAGTAATGGTCGAGTTTTCGTAGCCTTCGGGGTTGTTCTGGGGCGTGTGCATATAGCGCTCCGTGTAGATGGAGTCGTAGAAGTGCCAGTCAGTAACAGGCGCAACGGCCATTCCGTACTTGAACGTCTCTCCTCCATCCTGCTCAAGGGTCTTGAGAGTGTTGAAACCTCCGTAACTCCAACCCCATATAGCCAATCTATCGGCATCAACATACTTTTTGCTCGCCCAAATCTTGGCCGCTGCAATCTGGTCGTGCGCTTCGTAGTATCCAAGATTTCCTCGAGTGATGCAGCGCAGCTTGCGACCGAGGAAACCTGTACCGCGTCCGTCTACAGTGACAACAATGTATCCGAGACTTGCGGCAATGTAGGATTGGAAATCAACCTTGAACCGCTTGTTCACTTCCTGCGAGCCTGGACCACTGTATTGGTAGAACAACACAGGGTATTTCTTCTTTTCGTCAAAGTGTGGCGGGCGGCGTTCGAGAACGTTGAGTTTGAAACCGTCAACGTCGATTGTCTGGTAGTTGAGAATTGGCAACTCAAGCTGGCGCACTAAGCGATCGAGGCCTTTGTTTTCTTCGATGGTCTTTTCGTATTTCTCCTTGTTTGCTGATGTGCTGATGATTTTCTGCCATGGAATTCCGGGACCTTTGTATGAGATCAAGGCATATGAACCACCAGCTGAGAATGATGCGTCGTAGTACCCTGAACCGCTATTCTCTACAACTTCACTCTTTCCGGTGCCATTCAGATACACAGAGTATGCATGCCGCTCTGTAGAACCTTTCTCAGTGGATATGTAGTAGACCAGATTGTTCTTCAAATCCACTCGCGACGGTGCCTCGACAACTTCCCATTCGCCCTGGGTGAGCAACACAGGCTTATCGCTGTCCAAAGGTGCAAAGTACCCAATGTGATCATAGCCCTCATGAATGACAGTGTCGATGTACCCATCGTGCTCGCGACCGTTCTCAGGATCTGCTGGCACAAAGGTAGTTTTTTGCGAAACCTCGAACCATCCTCCATCTAGTTCCGCAACATTCTCGGTCCTGATAGTTTTCCCAGTACGTTGCCCGACGTCCATCAACACTAGCTTGAGGATATCGCTCTCACGGTTCGTTTCCCGAACAAGTACCTGCTTTGTCTTGCCCGCCCAAATGATCTCGGTAATTAGCCTGTTATCATCTTGGAAATCGTCCTCAATCTTGACACTGAATACCTCGCCCTTTTCGACGTCATAGAATTGCAGCGATACGATCGGGTTTGGTGCGCCAGCCTTGGGGTACTTGATGTCGCGAACTTCGGGATAGTTTTCTTCGCCAGCCTTGGGCCTTTCTCCGCTGGGCCGTGACAAAAAATATTGGACCGGGTACGTCGGGACGGTTGATTCATCTGTGCGCAGAAAGGCAATATACTTGCCATCTTCAGACCACCATGTTGCACTGTTGCCTTGGAAGACCTCCTCTTCGTATACCCAATCGGGGATACCATAGAACAACTCAGTTCCACCGTCCTTTGTGATTTGGATGACTTCTTTGGAGTGCAGCTTGCGCAAGAACATGTTGTTGTCCCTTGTGAAAACGACCGCATCCGATTGTGGTGACAGGGAGGCCAGTTGGATCACAGCTCCTGGGTTTTGTGGATCCAGAGGTTCGCCAGTTTGTGTCTCAACATCGAATATCCAGTACTTGCCCGTACCAGAGTGTCGCCAATTCTTCTGGTGATTCGACAGGACCAGTACCTTCTTGAAGTCCTTGCTTGGCCAAACATCATTAGGATAGACAGATGTCCCGTCCACCGTGAAGCTCTTTTCTTTCATAAGTGTAGTCTGTGCTTCCGTAGCCCTCGCCTTGCCCGTGCTTCTGATATCCTCGACTACCAAGTATCCCTCTTTCCCAGAATCTCTCTCGAGCAACAAGCCGTCCTCGCCCGATGGGCCTGCTATCCACTCGACGCTCTGTTGTTGAGGGTAGAATCGACCACCTAGAACATCATCCATGCTGATCTTCTTTCCTGAGCCCTTTGTTGAGCTCGCGAGAGGATCGTGTGGCCGGCTCGAGACAGGCTTGTAGGTGCCGCTCATCAAGAAGAACACCAGCGCAAGCGTCCATCCTGCTACACATGCGGTGCCTACAATCCATAACCACCTTCGCGTCTTCTTATCTACCCCTGTTGGGGTGCGGTATTGTGCGCCCTCGATGTCAAACTGTTCGTGTGGGTGACTTGCATCGTCGTCGTCCGTGTATTTTTCTCCACGATTTAAACGCGATGCACCGGTAACTGCTGGATTGTTGATGTGTTCGAGAACTAGCGACGTGGTGGATATGGACGATATAGAGGCATCGGACCCGTCTTCTGAGGTGCGCGCGGATCGCTCGTCTTTGGTTAGAAGCTCCGCTTCCTCTTCAGGAAGGGCGCTGTGTCGCGGCATCGTAGCTGTAACGTGGTGAATTTAAAAGGAACAGGATCACTTTGGGAATCAACGCATCCTGATAAAAGAGCAATGCAGATCGCGGTAGACCACTTCCAGAAATTGGTATGCGGCTGCGAGGTGTGGTTAGGGGTTACGCATAGGCTAGCATGCGGAGGTGCGGAGTTCACGCGGAGGTGTCAGAGCTGGAGTTGGCCCGAAACATACCAAGCCACTCTCTGATGCAAGGGGGGAACGCCAACGCAACACAAAGAATCCAAGAGATAAATTTCTATTCAAGTCCAAAATAGGACGACTTTAGAACGGTATAGTTTCCGTTTATTCCTTCCAACTTTGGAAATCATCAGTTCCCTCCTTGCAATTGTGATAAGCCGAGCCTCTGGAGCTTTCTCACTTGAACGAAATTGTGGCCAATTTGTTGACTAACACAACGTCCCCGAGTTTTTTACTGATACGAACAAGAGACTACTAAGATCAAGGTGGTAGCTATCTTGCAGAATGGTTGTCGGAAGAACTGTCATAGGAAGATGTTAGGCTTAGGAGAACCTGAGAAGTATCGAGTGCTAGCGTAGAGCTTTGGCTGGGGGAATCGCCCGTGTCAAACAGAATGTGATTTAGCAGTAGACTAAGACGGCAGTGGGCCAAGGTAATCCTGCAGTTTTGCTTAGTAGGTAGTCAACGGGATTGGCTCTGAAAGTTCCTACCTCCTTCATTGTGCCTACAGCGTACATCTTATCAACTTCAGATCTCAGACCCTTGATCTTGATGCGGATGTTGGTGCCCTTTTCAATAACCTGTTCTCCGTCGTCGGTCCATTGCGGCGGTGTGGCGTTCGCGTCGAACTTGATCTCGGCAGGGATCATCTAGTCCCTGTTAGTGAATGGGGAGGCACATAGGGAGGTGAGATTTTACACTTCGTCCTACGAATGCTTGCAAAGACCCACAGTCTACGAAGAAACCTGTGCGGAGTACTGAGGTGACGATGCCATCCATCTTGACACGGTTAGCTGAGCATTCCGCGGTCGCACGCCCAGTTTGCACATACCACCTCGCCTTTGTACGGCCTCCACACAACTGCCTTGTAATGTACAACGTATTCAGCGGAGCCGGAGCCAGGCATGACTTTGCCATCGGATATGTCAAACGAGTCCAAGATGCACACAATAGTATACTTTCCAGTACTCGATCCCTCCTCTTTCTGCAACAGTTCGCGGTGGATATGCTGGCGAATGAGAGGACCAAAGTACGACGGGTGCAGCTGAATCGTCTTCTCGAGTTCTTTGAGAAAAAACATGTTGTATGGTATGCGACTAGCTTGACGGATAGGGTAGGGTAGATGCGCGCGGTTTTCTTGGAGAATATGGACGGAGTAGCACAGGTGAAAGGTAGATGACGGTAGAAGGCGAAGGAAGCCAGACGATGCTCCTTGGTATTACGCGACTCTAAAAGTCTTTATTCTGACGGGCCCAGTAAAGAGTCGACAGTGTGTAGTGTAGACAGCGCGCGTGTTTCAGCGAGACGCGCCCTCGGCCTGCAAGCCAGCCCTAGTTGTTATGTCCAGCAGCCCATGCGCACAGCCCACAGTGTATGCGCGCTGCTCGTGGTAGTCCGGGGATACAGCGGTAGCGGGTTCGGGGAAGTTTGGTGGAGGGCTGGGAAAAACAGTCGAGTGCTGCGACTTGAACGTTGAGCTTCCGAAGATGCAGGGCTCCAGGGCTCTCGGCACGGAAAATCATTCGCTAAGGCCCAAGCA